CCCCCCCCATTTTGCATGTTTTAATATAGGCCTTAATTTGGGGGGAGGGACTTTAATTTCATTTCATGCCTATAAAACAGGCTGGGACTTCCTATTGGGGGAGGCCGTATTGTTGGAGAAACAGGGTAGAATTTGATTGCTTATTGTACCCTATGACTATCATTAAGTGTTATATCTTATGATTCTTGACTCTTGATGAATGTATCTTTTCTTTTTTACGTACACTGAAAGCATTTGCACCAAGACAAATTCCTCGCGTGTCTAATCACGCCCGGCCGATGAAGAATTCATTCATGTAAGAAAATCCTTTCGAAAAAGCACTTTTTTGGGGACAATCGTAACCTGGATGCCTGAGAACCTCCGGAGACGTCTACCAGGGGGTTGCGGGTTTCATTTTGACCCCGATGGATTGGTTCCCAGAGTTCAACCTTCAGACACGGAGATACTGACCTGACTCATGGAACAGCTGTGGGAGAAGCCCAAGGTGGTGAGTCGCACGACCTCGCCAGGAGATTCGTAGCTGACCACGTAGAGGTGATGTTCCAAAGGGGTATCCTTCGTGCCCTGGAAATACACCAGCTTCGTTTCTTCATTGACCCAAATCTGGAGAGACAAAGAGAAAGAGACGACGGGAGAAGCTGAGAAGCGCACGTGAAAAATTGCTCTGAGACAGAACTGTGGGAGGCAGAATCAGAATTCATTTCAGCTGTATCCAGTTTTGGTCGCCACGATATAAAAAAAAGAGGTTGAGACTCTAGAAAAAGTACAGAGAAGAGCAACCAGGATGATGAGAGGACTGGAGGCTAAAACTTATGAAGAACGGTTGCAGGAACCGGGCCTGGCTAGTCTAAGGAAGAGAAGGACCAGGGGAGACTGGATAGCATCTTCAAATATCTGAGGGGCTGCCACAGAGAGGAAGGGGAGTCAAGCTATTTATTAAAACGCCTGTAGGCCAGACAAGGAATCATGGATGGAAACTGATCAAGGAGAGATTCAGTCTAGAAATAAAGAGACAGTTAAAACAATTAATCAGTGGAACAATTTGCCTCCAGAAGTTGTAAGTGTTCCAACACTGGAAGAGATTGGACAAGCATTGGTCTGAAGTGGTGTAGGGTTTCCTGCCTAAGCAGGGGGTTGGACTAGAAGACCTCCAAGGTCCCTCCCAACTATTCTTATTGCTATTCCTGTTCTACTCCTTAGCTTCAAAAGTTATCTGTACAGTTGGGATGAAAATGGCAGCGGTGGTATCATTTTCAAAGCTCTGGACCAGTTTTGATCATGGCTGCCGTTCTGGCTTTATTTTGGAACCTGCTTAGCTTAGTTGCAGAAAGATCCCAGAGTCTGCATCTTGAATAAATGAATAGATCCTGCAATTAATAGTACATTCTGCCCAAGGTACCGTCTTCGGCAAAAGAAGGGGTTACCAATTGGAAAAAGCTGCTAAGGTAAAACAGTGTTTGTGTGTCTGTGTGTGTGAGCCTTTGAGTCATTTTTTGGTCTCCTGGTGACTGCCTGAACAAGTCCCTGCTGTTGTCTTGACAAAGTTTTTTTTTAAGGGGTTTGTCCTGGGCTGAGAGAGAGTTACTGGCCCAAAGTCTCCCAGCTGGCTTTCATTTCTAAGGCGGGACTAGAACTCACCGTCTCCTGGTGATCAGCCCAAAATTGCCTAATTGGCTTTCATGTCTAAAGCGGGACTAGAACTCACCGTCTCCTGATGATTGGCCCAAAGTCACCCAACTATCTTTCATGCCTAAGGCAGGACT